CCACCACCACCACCACCACCACCACCACCACCACCATTGCCGCCCCCGCCACCGCCACCACCACCGCTACCGCCACCGTCACCGCCTAGACCATATCCGCCATATCCTCCTTTAATGCCAAGGTTCCCGTTCTTTTTTCCCCGATATCGACCGCCATATCGTCCAGAGTACCCTGAAGACAGTGAATCAAGACTATTGGTGAGAAGTTGTTCCCTTGACCAGTTTTTGGTTGTAAATTCTCTGCGCAGCAGTTCTCTTTTCCATGTTCTTCTCCCGTGTACAAAGAATCTCTTGAGTCAGTTCTCCTAATACTGCCTTTATTATGGCTAAACTGCACATTAGTATACATGATGTCTACATTTTACAGGACCAACCACTGAGTGGTAATGAACCTCTACCCTTTGCTGGGATGCAAAGATCATATACGCGCACCAAACGAGATGCAAAAAACGATATCCTCGGTAAAAAAATATGTTCCTGATGTTGCTTTTCTTTACCAATTTGAAAAGGACGAGCACAATATCCAATATGCACATTTTTATTTACCAATCTTTAATTGGTTGCTGCTTATTGCTGACTTAATATGCCTATGGTTTGTATTTAGGGAATAGATTTGACATTTCTTGCATCAGTAGGGGAGAAGTAGAATCCGAAGAATCAAATTTGATGAATCTGTGTGGTGCTTGTTGGACTTGGCGACAACTTCCAGAAGATTATTTTCCAAGATTGGTCAATGAACTCCTATGCCATAAAGACAGTGAAGGCACTTGCCTCTCTGGTGATCTGTTCATGTCGCCTAATTTTCAATTTCAGCAGCATATTTATAAGCTGGACTAATTATGCTCAATTATTACTAATGCTTTGCATCATTTTTCAGGGTGGGGAACTTGTCACCAACGGTACCGTAACGTTGATGTCCTCAAAAAGGTTGCAGGCAAATGGGAGACCACAACTATCTCTATCGCTAATTGTTGTGACTGCAAAGTTAGGGCTGGAACTGAGGCTCACGCATTGGTAATTGGCAAATATACTTAACAGATTTCAAGCGGATTAAGGAAAAAAATGGTTAAAACTACGTAAAGGTATGTTTAGAACAAAAATATTGCTATTTTTATGTTTAACTGTAAAATACAATAATTTCGTCATGTTTTTTTTCTCATATTCAATCACTACACTTATTTGCAAGATGCACACCAAAAACCACCTTTTGTTTTAGCTTTGAATTTAGAATGAATTATTTATAAAACAAAGTGCTCTCAGGTTATTTTACCCACTGATCATTACTTTTCACTTATATACGGATCACTATTTAGAAAACAGGAAACATGACAGTAAAGAAGAGCAAGTTTACTTGTACATTTTTGGCAGCTACTTTTTTCTTCTGAACACTCGTTAAGGATATGAGGCTTTGGTTAAATGAAAAAAGAATTCAAAGGGTTTTATATATGCAAGAGAAAGTAAGCTAGCAAAAAAATAGTCAGATAGTTAATAATTAAAGGAAGTGAAAAGATGTTTTTTGTGGTATTGCTTAATATACTATTTCCACCCCGTCCTTTCCTTTTTTCATCTAATATCTCAATAACTTAAAAAGCTTTAAGCTGTAACGTTGTAGTGAAAGGTGAAGTTTTTTTTGTTGGAGTTATCTTTGTTTTTTTAGATGGTTGAATCTAATTGGAAAACATTTTGTCGCAAAGTCAGTTTCATAAATGGACTTTATATATCTGCAGCTCTCAGAATTTTTTGCAATAGTATTCTATAATCTCTTTGAGCTTCTGTAGTAATGCTGAAATTAGTCACTGAAATCAGTTGTATATATGTAAGCATCTGTATAATTGTATAACCATCTAGTGATAAGATAATTGCAGGCTTTCTTGCCTAATGGTGTAATAGTTTCTGTCAGTCATTCTTTTAGTTGTAATTAACTGCAGTAATATATAAAAAATTTTATATTTATCTCTATTGCATACCTGCAAGAATTCTCACCGACAATTCTTGAAAGGGGTAACAGTTTACCTGCAAAACGGGAAGTTGATTTTAGTATAGCTGATAACGATAAACTTTTTAACCTTTTCAATAAACTTAGTATTTATTGCTGCAGTAGACGGGGCTTTTTTTCGTACTTTCCAAAGGTTTTGTTTTGTTTTCTCTGCTTTTAATTACCATAACTGTAAGGGGGGTTTTTAATTTATTACAGTACCGTCGTATAACAACGTTGCTAGATGCTTATTTTGGCTACTATTTTTATCTATTGTGTGTGATCTGAAGTTTTGATGACTTTCAAGTCAAGTTGTTGTCTTGTATATGATAATTGCTGTAAGCGAATGTTTAAAAATTTCAAGCGAACGAACTGGTAGAATAATTGGCGTTTTAGGAACTTAAGTTATCTGCTTAGAGTGGTAACTTTTTGCATCAGATAGTATAGAAATTGTTTTAGTCAAATTTCTCATCTGTTTGAAACTAAACATTTTCAATTCTACTATTTAGTTTTCTGTTGATCACCGACAATTCATGATGTCGTTTCATCAACATGACGCCTATGTTGACGAAAAAAAGGACATCAACGTAATTTTATGCTCAGTCATTTCGTCGATGAGAAAAAAACAGCACCGACAGTGTTTATTGACGAAAGCATTGGGAATCAGGGAATAAGAAAGAGGACAAGTTTATTGTAATATGCTGAAAGGAAAACGATGATTCAGCATACCAATGCATTCTGTTCGCCGAAACAACACTATAGAATTTACTGGTGATAATATTTTTGGGTTTTTTTTAGTACGCAAAGTTTCTTTTTGTAAGAAATCGTTGAGTAAAAACTCGGCTGCTTTTTTAGTAAAACTATTTGGGCAGATGTGGTGGGATTTGTTTGGCTGCAGTGTTTCAGAACTAATGATCAAGTTATATAAGTTAAATCTTTGTGGGTGAAATTGAAGGCAAGAAGAAAGGTGTTCTTGAAGTTTTCAAATTTATCTGCTCAAAGTTCACAAAATCTGGTTTATGTTGAATACGAAGAATGAATTAATGATTGAT